GGGAGTGAGAACAGTGGGCTTGTCTCTGTTGTCACTTCAACACGGTCATGAGCCGGCCAAGAAGTCAAGGAATGCTCCAAAACCTTGCACTCCAGAACTTGTCAAAGAAAAAGCAATTGAATCTGCTCCAATTTCATGCAGGAATGGTTTTAAACTTCTATTCTGTTTCAGATTCAACTCTTCAGTCTGAGGAAAACAAGAAATATAAACCTAGTGGAAACAAATTTAGTTGCTTAAAATTGTATCAGAGAAATAAGAGGATGAGCAAGCAAAAACCTACGAAAGGCATAGAAGTGGTTGATGTTGTTGCCAAGAAAGGGAAAGACGACAACAATGAATGTAGTGAGGAAGAAAGTGAGCATAAAAAAGAAATGGTAAGAAGAACAAAGAGAATTGTTCCGAGGAGAGGTGATGTCTTGCTCAAGGTATATTTTTTAATTATGTCTAATTTCTCTCTCTGAAAAAATAATGAATTTTCTAAAATTTAGTTATGAACTTATGATGATGTTGGTGTTAAGGGATAAAGGGAATAGTTCTATTGAATAGTTCTATTGTTTTTACTAAGATTTTGATTTTTGAGTACAATGTGATCTTAGATGAGGGTAATTTAATAGGAGTTGCATGCACGAGACGGATTGATTTTTAAATTTTAAATTCGCAAATTCGTGCCCGCCCCTCCTCATCCCATTTACACGTAGTTTGTTATGGGCCACTGAGCCCGTTAATTGTATGGATAACAAAATAAAGAGCAACACAAAAGAAATTTGGGAGCCCATTAAAGTGCAACCCAAAAAAATATTAAAAATGTGGCTGGTCGGTGAGTTTTTATGAAACCCGGTCTCCAATTTTTTATTTTACTGGTCGTTGTGAAACAAAAAGGTCGTTCCATTGGGGCAAAACATGTAGACAAAATTGACATCTCCAATCTACAGACTTTTTGAATGGTGCGTATCTAAAGATTTTTTAATCCTAAATAACTTTCAAATTTGTGGTCTACTCAAGAATTGCAAAATTTCACTCCTAATTAGCTAACTTCTCTTATCTTGTTTGGGCTACTGGATTTATGTTCTTAATTTCATAGCGTGGATATTGACATGAATTGATTGAAACTTTAGCATGGGCTCATGAATGGATACCCTTTGGCTAATTTGATTCGATGGAGAGATAAACCAGTGAAAAATGTCTTGGTTTATCTTTTAGAATGAAGGAGGATAATTTTTAACTTTTTTTTAAAAAATAAAAATAAAAAAAATTAATTCAAGCGACTGATATATATAACCTTTGCTTAAAATTTGGTAAATAAATTTTTTTTTTAACCTTTGCTACAAGAAGTTAGTGTACTGTCCAACATTTCAAGTTGGTAATTTTATTTACCAACTTAATCCAAAAAAATAAAAATATATATGAAGAGATAGGATTGAAACTACTTGGTAAACAAAGCATAAAACATGACAAGCTGCCGCACAAGTGGGTTCTCCAAACTCCACAACCCAAAGCATGCAACTCAGTAACTTACAACTACAGTACTATATTCATATTTCTAACCTTTTGTCTTTATAAATAAATATATTTTTAAAATTGGAATTTATTTAATTAATTAAAAGTAAAGGCATGTGGCCAACCGTGTGGCCTGGATCCACTCAATAAAGCACGAATTGCCAGAGTCTCCAAATATATGTTTGACCACCACCTACCGGCTTTTTCCTGTTCCGGCCAAAACAATGGCCGAAACCAGTACAATAACAGGAGAACACCACTCTCGATTGCTACAATCCCACTAATGCCCATTCCTCTAAGATTGATGATTATGGGCCTTAATTTGACTGTTCAAATCATAATTTACATTAATTTGTTTAAAATATCATGACAAAATGACTATTTTACTTAATTATTTATTGAATGAAACGAGTGTCACAACGCGGTAATGTTAGAGTACAATTTCAATTCTTCGACGTTAGCACATGGTTCTCATTTTTAGCATGCATCAATACTTTGAAAGAGGTTAGGCTTGTGTCCGGTCTTTGGTATTAATAATTTAATAGGGGGAACAATGGTTAATTAGTTGATTTTGAATTAGTGCATGTAATTATTATTATATTATCGGACTTACTAATAAATTTAGCGTACATTATATCAATTATAGTTCCACTAATTTTTAAACCTTTGAATTCTAATGCATTTCTTCACATTAAAGACTAAATAGGCTATCTAATACGTACTACCTTCGTCCCATATTAAAAGTTCATTTCGAAAATTTTCATTCATAATTTTTGTGAGTTAAAATTTTTGTAATGAATATCTAATGTGAAACAAGGATAGTATATAAATATATAAAAAGAATATAACTAAAAATGACATCAAATAATTTAAAGATAAAAAGTAATATTAGTAGTAAATAGTTTTAGACCTAGATAGCAAATATGAGACAGAGGGAGAAGAACTTTATGACTGTTTTAAGTCCCGGTTTGTAATAGCGTATATAGCACAGTAAAAGATGAAATTAACATTGCACATTGAAGTGGGACTGTTTGTGTTAGGTATATAGATATAAATAAACATTTTGGTGAAGTAGTGACAGGTTGATCGATGAGTTGCAGAAGAAGAGAGATGGGGTGTGGTCCACGTGTCAAAACCCCGTTACATCAAATAAGTTGGAAAAAATGAAGAAGCAAAAGATGTGCAGGCTGACAAAAGTAGATCGAGCACACATATAATAGATAGAAAGAAAGAGAGAGGGTTGGTAGTGCAGAGAACTGTTGTCTTTGTGTTGAACTGTTGATGCAGTCACCCATGCATTAATGGACTCGATGGCTTTTGTGTTTAGTGTGTGTGTGTGTGAGAGAGAGAGAAAGAGAGAGGAGCTTTAAGGCACTGCTTTCTCTGTGACGGCACAGTTGAAGGTCCAAGTCCTCTGAGCAACTCTCTCTCTCTCCACGAAATCAATTGGTTGACCCGACCCATGCTGTGGACATTTATTCATCATTGTTCAAAATCTCTCTGCCTCAAGCTGCTGTATCTTTTGTTTTCCTTTCCTTTCCTTTCCTTTCCTTTCTCTTTCTCTATATTTTTCGGAAAAGAACAGTAACTTGATACTACTCAAGTACTTCAATGTACCCAATCTATTATTTGGAGGATTCTTTGATTTGGAATGGAATCATTGCAAAAGCAGGACCAGATATTAACATCTAGAATTAAATTCTATTCATGAAGGGCTCCATTTTATTAAATCAAATTAATTTTAATGCCAACTTAATCAACCTGAATCTCCTTTTGATTCTTAAAATCCATGTAATATGACAGATTGTAGATGGATATGTATTGTTTCATGACATGTATATGTATATTGGGATAAAAAAGAAGAAAGAAATTTATGATATCTAATATAAGCCGCTAATTAAGCTTCATATTATAATTAACATTATATTATTTTTTATTTCTTAAAAAAGTAATGCTATTATGAGATGTCTCTCACAACACCACTCACTTACAACAGGTCTATTTATCATGATCATGTGTAAAATTTGATACGAAAATCTAAGAATTTGAAAGAGAATTGTATGAGGATTATATAACCAAAATTTTGTAAAAAGTTCATTTACAACGGATCATTGGAATCAATCACAATTTTAGTTTTTTTTTTTTTTGACCAAATTACATTTTTAATTTTGACCATCTCCTATATTTTTATTTATTATATTTTGTTAGTGAAATTACTTTAGCATTAATAATATAATGATATAATTTATGTATTATTTTTACAATATATTAATTTAAAGGAGTACTCAAGTAAAGTACTAAGAGAGATCAAATGACACTTCTCAAATGTATATAGACGTAAACTATCCATCGTGAAATTAATGTTCATTTTGGTAGGGGTAAAGTTGTGCGAAAGTAAAGATATGAGGGATTTTAAAAGCTATAGGTTAATTGAGTAGGAAGAAATATTGCATCATTTTACCAATATATCCTCAGAGTAGCACAAAATTTTTTTTTTTTTTTTTGTTGTGTGTGTGTGTGTGTGTGTGTTTAATGGTTAGACCCACGAGACAATCTTTTGCTTTTCAGAATTTGGATTGCAAATAAATTTGCTTTTACCAAATGGAGTATAGAGACAAACACAACAATAAAAGCCCATATTTGGGCAAAAACGTCTTGTAAGAAGCTAGTACGTACTAGCAATTTTACAATTAATTCAAAGGGCATCATGACTGGCATGGACAACATGGCGAAAGTTAGACTGATTTTGAAACCACAGATCTAATGTGCGCCAGGGGAAGTAAAAGACACTTGACAGCAAAAAAAAAAAAGTATGCTATATTTGAAGGGAAGTGAAGACCAGACTTAAAAAAAGAAAAGAAATGAGACAAAGAAAACTGGTTTGGCAGATGCAGCCATCTGCCAACCAAGTTATTGGCGGGAGAGGGTGGCATCTGCAGTTCTGCTGCCTCCTTTTGTCTCTCTCTCCACTCTCTAGAAATGTGAGTGGCACAAAAGAAAAAAAAAGAAGAAAGAACTGATACACTGAAGAGAGAATAGATGCTTCAATACTTCCAATGTAATTATAACTAAACAAATAAAAAGAAAATAGAAGTATCTAAAACCCATCAATAAATTCTCAATAAAGAAGTAGTTGATAGTTGATGCTAATTAATGTATCACTCAAATATTTTAGTTTACAATAAAGTTACAAATGGTGACCAATGTAGAGAGAGAAATTAAAGAGGAAGGGCTGGTGGGTGAACCTATATAGCTAAGAATGACACGGTCTGGGTCTGGTGCTATTGCCTATTGGGGTTGTGGCTCGGAGCTCAACAAGCACGCACATTGGGCATTGCCAGCTGTTGTTGCCAGTTACGACTCATAATACCCAGTAGTAGTACTCAGTACCAGTGGTACTTATCACCACATATATGGTTCATTTTCTTGTTTCGTATGTTGATTCAGACGTAGCACTGCTACAAGTGCTCAACGGTACATCGCAAAGCCAGCACCTACTTGTATTACTTGTTGTCTTCGTTGTCATCATTGCCATTATCATCATCTTCTTCTTCTTGTGGCCTATCTCCACCGTCCATCTCATCATGATTGTTATGATCTAAGTCCTTATAACCACACAGGTGACGAGGAGAGTTGGGGCGGTTAACTATGGGAATGGGCTCCGTCAAGTGGCGCCGCCCATCTCGAGGTGGCGAGAACACCACTGGCATGTAATCCTCCGCCTCCCCCGGGAACTTTGAGTTCTTGAAGTGCTCTTTCAATGCTTCCAAACCCTATATATATATATATATCAAATTAAAAAGCATATCACAAGGAAAATATATATATATATATATATATACCTGTAATCTGGCATAGGTAACTTCACAGATTTTTCTGGAGTTGAAGACCTCCCAGTTTTGATGGTGAAAGGCCTTGTAGAGTCTCCATGCAGCCTGTGGGGAGGTCATGTTCACGAACCCATATCCCACGTTGCACTTGTTGCTGTGTACGTATTAAGAAATTGATGCCGATTATACATTAATGAGTAATTAATTATATTAATATTAATGTATAAGTTTAGGAAAATCACATGAAATCAATGGGGAGGTAAATGAAATCGTAGGATGACAAAGGCTCTTCTTGCTCATCGCCATTGCCAACAATCTGCTCGTTGCAGTGAATGCAGTGGTTGTCCAGCATGTTCAGCAGCAGCTTCTGACTGCACCCACCACGACTCACATATATATATACAAGTCAACACACATATAATATATCCGTGTGTATATATATATTGGAGTACAATAATAAAAAAAGCAATTGCAAAATGACCCACAAACCTGTACTTGTTGGGTATGTTTTTGATCATGACAGTGGTCCGGGAATCTCTGCAATTCGATTCCATAATCGCATCTTCGTTTATTAAAAAACGTGGATCCGGATTCTTTGACGGTCTTCCCTTCCATGACTTACTACTACTTCTCTTGCTCTCCTGTACTCTCTCTTTCTGTTGCTGCTTTGAAATACTAGCTTTTGCATACTGACCCTTCTTTGAATTTTTTACTCCTATTTGGGTGCTAATACTACTGTTACTCTCTTCATTTCCATTCCCAACTGCACCACCAATGCACAATGAACCCATTGAAGCTTCTACACTACCACTCTCACCATTTACATTCAATTTCTTCGGGTAGCAACGCGTCGGAGTCGGCGGCAGTACGTTAGCGGCAGTGCTGCTAACGGATATAGGCAAATGTGGCGGTGGTGGTGACATGGAGTGTGAGTTTGTTAATGGGTGGTAATTGGTTGTAGAATCAAAATTATTATTTGTATTATGTGTGGCTTTTGGCGGGAACCTTTTGGTCTTGCTATGGCCTCCAGGGCGACTAAATTCGATGAGGACATATTTCCCACTGATTTCTTTTCCATTCATCTCCGCAAAAGCCTTGGCTGCATCTCTTATGTCGTAGAATTCTATGAACTTTTGGTGCCGCTTCAATGGCGTACCCCTCAATTCCTTCACAGCACCTGAAATCAAATATGTGTACCCCGGCCAAGAAAATCATAATACATAGATATATATACACACAGTACAAAACAAGACCCACATATAAAAAGCCAAAAAGTAACAAAAATTACTCGGCAAAATGACATACAGAAATGGGGAAAAACACCCATCACATTAAACAAAGTGAGTCAAAACAAGATAGCTCGCTCCAAACACACACATATATATATTAATCGCAGAAACATTTGAGTTTACAGGCAATAAAAAATAAGTACTTTGAACTTCTCAGATACCAAACATTTGACAGATTATTTAGATGAATACGACACATCTAATTAAACATCAAACCGGAATAATTAATTAATGAATCTTTATATATATATATATATAGTTCATTAGATAAAATTCGTACCAAAAGTTTCAAAAATTTCTTGAAGTCTGGCAGTGGAGACCTGCGGGTCCAAATTGAATATTACGAGGGTCCCTTGGTTGTCGCCGCCGGGGACGGCGGCCATTACCGGAACATTGAACTGGGCCCACACGGCGCGGCCAGCAATGAGTCCACGCGCCGGCGGAGGTAGTGGGCCCACCAAATTATTGGCCTCGTAACTGGACCAATTGTGCGTCAACAAGGCCTCGAAGTGCTTCCTCAGCCTGCTCTGCTGCTGCATGTGCTGCTCTCGAATCTCCACCATGGCCGCCTGTGCGTCTCTCAAGTCATAGAAATGGACGGTCACGATTCCATCACGCACTCTCTCCATCTGGACGGCCCTTACGTCCCCAAACACCTCCAATTCTCTCCTCACCGTGGATTCGCTGACGTCGGTGGGGACAGAGCTCAGAAGCAGCGTCCGAGACGGGGTCGTGGAGGGCGGAGGAAGCCGCGGAGGAAGAGGAGGGTTTGCGCCGGCAGTGCTAACGTACGCCAGTGGAGTAGGGAACTGGGGGTACGCTATGCCAGCGTCGTCGCAGAAGGGCATGACCTGTACTTCACTGGACGAGTATGGAGGAGAAGGGCAAGGATAGTAAATATGAGGCTGAACCAGGGTCAAGTGGTTGTACGGGCTTCTTGGCCGGAACTCTTGTGCCATAGGGTCTAAGTTTCCCGGACACTTGACAACACCGGTATCTCCCATGGCGATTCTTCGCCGGAAAACCAGTCAAAAGAAGAGCACAAACACGTCAAGTTCGACTGTTCTCGTTAAACTCCATCGCTTAGTTTCCCGAGTAGCAGTACATCTCTCTCTCTCTAAAAGGGAAAAAGACACTCTCTCTCTCTACCTATAGACGGTATAGACTGTCTTTCTCTATCTATATCTGTATATATATATATATATATATATATATATATATATATTAACAAACGAAAATGTAAGAACAAGAAGACAAACGAAAAAATAGGTTTCTTATTCACTAGTAAGTACTCTGCTACTTTAGTCGAGATTATTATTTATTTATTTACGGAATAAAAATAGGCAATGTTGGTGTTCTTTTGAAATTACGAAATTGCCCTAGTGACCTTGATAAATGAGAAATGTTGATACGTTTTGATTGAGGCATTAAGTAGGTTTTGCATGAGAATGGATATGATCCGTACACGTGTCGTGAAATGTGGCGATGACCCGCTGGAGGCGCATAGATGATAAACCAAAGGGGGTTGGGTTATTTCATGCTTCTGTTTGGGCGAAACAAGGCGTTATATGGAGTATTAGATTGTAGATACAGATATAGATATAATAATTGCAATGATTCATGTATGTATATTATTTTTGTTTTGATGTTATACAATTACATGAATGTATGTAGGTATAGTGTAGTTAGTAAGCCCTGTGTCTGACGCTGTTGATACGACCTTTGTGCCACTCCGTACAAACTCCAGTTCTATTTACATGCAATAGTGTTTCCTTTGTCTTTAATTTCACCCCTCAATTGCAAATTTCTTCTTTAAACGTGCGTCCGTTGTCTTTAATGTCACCCCTCAACTGCACATTTCTTCTTTAAACATGTGTCAGAAAACTTAGATACCACCCACCCAATTTAGTGTAGTTCTTCACCTTTACGAAGTTCAAAGTTTTCATACAAGTAAATTGAGCGTGTGATTAAGTCGCATAGACACCGACAAAGAATACGATCACCATACTGATATGACATAAATTTGTTATATGTTAATTAAATTCTAGAATAGTACAGTATTATTGAGTGAGAGTATTATAGAAATTTAATTTATTTTTAATTTCTATACAAAAAAATTGCTCCTTGATTTAGAAAATGAAATTCCGATCATTTTTGTGATTACAAAAAAACAACTATCATTTTATACTAATATAGAATACGTTCATCTTATTTTCAAGATGAATTCTCAACTTGTGTTTGTGTATATTCTTGTGCTAGAAATGATAGAAAGTGTTAAGGGTTTGAGGCATCAGAGAAGCGTCCAAAAAGTATTTAAAAGTGTCAGTTAAATGTTCAAAATAATAAATTTTAATTTTCAATTATGGACATGGAATTAAAGTGTCGAACATGTGTTTGAGGGGTGTCGGTGTGTAACACAAATACAATCCTTCAAAGAAGTGTTCGTGCTGTCGAGGTGTATCAGTGCATTTTTTGCCCCGGTTAAAATATAGGAGTACACACACTAGAACTTAGATCCCAATTCCTAACATATTACTGTGCTTAAATTTATTTGGATTTAGATTTGAATTTCAATATATAAGTTATCAAAAAAAAAAAAAAGCAAAAATGCAAAAAAAATCCCCTGAAATTTCCCAAAGTGAACACAATACCCCCTTCTAGTATAAAAGTAAGCAAGTTAGTCCCTTAGTTTCAAAAGTAAACAACTTGTTCCTTTCCATTTTATCTCCAAACACTTTTTTTTCATATTATGGTGCACATGATTGATAATTTTTTATTAATGCCGAAAGCACCCTCCAGTATAACCGTCATACCCCATCTTCCTATAAAAAAGCTTATGCATTTATTTGTTCCAATCAAACCTATTTTCTCCCTCTCTTTTCCATTTGCATTAGCTCTTGCGCTTTCCCTCCAAGGCCATTTCATTTAAACATTTTAATATTATATTTATTTATTTATTTATTTTTGTATTTGATTGTAGTAAATTGTATAATATATATATATTATTATTGTTGGACCATATATATATGTTCATGTGCATTTCTTTCAGTTCTATCTTTTCTATTTATTAGAAGCGTTTTGGGAATTAGACTATATCAAGTATCTCTCCTAAACCAAGTCATGAAAATAAATAATGAAGCGTTACAAAAAAAAAAAAAAAAAAAAAAGGGGGGGGGAATGGTAAACCCATTCCGCCTTAGTTCACATAAAATAGGCAGAGACCCGAGGACTTACAATACTTAAGTCAATTTAGAACCATATAATGCATCAATTTAGTATAGAGGGCATTTAAGATATCTTTCATTTTATATTTTATATATATTTTTTAAAAAAAGTTAATTATAAGTGAAATGCAAAGGGGCAAGTTGCTCACTTTTGAAATTAAAGGGATTAACTTGCTCACTTTCATACTATAGGAGGTATTGTGTTCACTTGGTGAGACCTCAATTTTTTTTTTTTTTTTACACTTTTGCCAAAAAAATAATACAAGTTTTCCTGCAAAAAAACTTCACAAGTTTCTTCCCTTGTGGTACATTTAATATATTTGGAATTCATAAACTGCACAGGTTGTCTCAAATTTTAATTGGAACATAAATTGCCATATCGACCCACTGCCTCTTAAGTCAAACTTGGAGCATCATTAAATTAGTTTGTCCCTCAAAAAATAGTACTAACTCAGAAAACAAAAATTAGCATGATTTCATAGAACTATGAAAGATAATTTTTCGAAAATATGTCTTTTTAATTGAGTTTTCAAAAAATAATTATTAAAAATTATCAACCAAATAAACTTTTGTACAATTATCTAATTTTTAGTTCTCAAAAAATAAAAAGTTATTGTCAGAAAACTGAACCAATTAGCAAGCCCTTAGACCATCTCCAATGCAAAATATCATTTCGAGTTGCCAAATATATATTTTGAGAGGAGGTACAGTGTCAAAATGTTATATTTTAACAATTCTGCTCTAATAGTACATTTCATCCAAAATGCTATATTTTAGTAATTCTCAGCCTCCATTGAACCAAGCCCAACCCACTTCTAACTTCCCCAATCCTACTTTAACTCTGACCGTTAATTTCGAAATTACCTTCTTATCTTAAGAGCCCATTGAAAAGCCCAAATGAAAGAACATTGGACTTGCTCTAAGCTGTTAAACTACTGCTACTAATTAATTTTGCGAATGAGACAAAAATGAACACTAATATTGTACTGATAATAATAGTTAAACAATGACCCAAGAAAAAAAAAAAATTTGAAACTCAATTAACAAAGCTATAGTAAAACATAAATTACTATTTTACCAAAACTAAATGTTGTGTTCCCCATTTGTTTCACATAGTTCATGGGCCACAAGTCCCACAACTCTTCCTAACTTGAAACTTGAAATCCCTTTAATTTAACTTTTCATGACCACATAAATAAGTGAAAGGGATGTTTCCTACTACATCTCCCATTTTTAAGAAACTTGCCATATGAAGTTCCAGGCACGCAAGGGAGAGAGAGAGAGACATTCCCAAGTGAGTGTTACTAACTCAGTCCCACGGATGGAAAATTTTAGAATCCGGCTCAGTTGTTAAATGTTGTGTTGAAGGGATGATTTAATGACCGAAATTTTTAAAAATACGGTACTTTCTTTCAAGATATTATAGAACTTCTCTGTACCCATCGGGATAAATCAAAAAATTATATATAAACGGGACAATAATAATTTTTCCATATACAGCATACATGTATGTCCGTCCCTGTGCACAAGTCCACTAACCCTTTTTTCATGTAATCTCACATGGAATCTTGCATGTGGTCTTTAATTATATAAGATTGGGTACCTCTATATAACGTATAACCATGTTTAAAGGTAGAGAATTTTGGGGCATTTAATTACTAGCATTTCCTATTAATGCACCATTTTCTTGTCAAATTGGAGTAATACCAAGTTAATTTCTCTTCCTATTTTTTTTTATTTTTTATTTTTGTCTTTTTTTTTCTAATGTGTGTGTATATATATCACATGAAAAAGGTGGGCGCTTGAGGGGAGGACTAGATTAGATTTCTACCTACTTTCACCATTGCTAGGTTAGGCATATAATAATAATAAAATAGGAAATGTGGAAGAAAGCATGTCTGTAATTCAGACAATGGGTCCATGGGACCATCCTTATGTGCTCCCCCTTGTTATAAGGAATGTCGCCCACCACTTTCACTGTGCCACAAAAGTGAAGCTGAGGTTGCTGCCACCACCAAACTAACTATTTTACTATACGCTCCATTTTTTATTCGTGTAATGAAGCACCCACTAATCTCGGGAATCGTGTTGCCAATACTGTGGCGAATCGTGTTACAGTGATATGGATCCTCTCAATCCCAGCCACTAGTTAATGGCAAAGACGCATCTCACGTCTTCGAATGTACTCGGATTATTTTTTTTAAAAAAAATTTATCAAAAATTATCTAATATGTGTGAAATGGAATGTGTTTTCCAATATTATTTTGAAATACAAGTAAAATTTTACATCGAAACCCAGCAAATATTGCATCATGATGTGACATACAATACTATTGGTGTAATAGTGTAACGTCCCGATGTGTTGTTGCATTTAGATGTGAGGTATGGTTTTGATGTACCATAAAATACTTGAGACCTCTCTCTCCTTGTATGGATAGGATCTTTATTCTTGGATATTGTTTCCAAAGTATTTTATTAACTTGGAATGATATTCTAGGTGGGTCAATTATATTGTTAACAACGCTTGTTTTTTTAAGTTGAAACTAACACCGCGACCAAGAATGTTCATGCATTAATTTAAAGCTTTTAACTTCATATATATATATATAGACCCAGTGTAATTATATAGTTACCTTTCTAGTTCCCAGATCATGGAGAGAGAGAGAGAGAGCCCAGATTAAAAATCATTGTGAGTGAAAGATGGGCCCAAATTGCATTTAGAAATCTGAACCCTCCATGTGAGAAATCGAGTCATAATGAGTAATCAAAATTATTTTGTCACACGTGACTCCCACTTTGCACCAGAACTTCAAACCAAAACAGGAGTTGTAAGACGAGCTTGATCAGCTTTTCCTTTTATAAAATTTCATATTGCTTATGGAGCCAAGTTCAATAAATTAACCAGCATCAAAATGTTAACTAGTAGTAGTTCATCTCACCAACCAATCTCAAATAAGCCTGCCTCCTCTAGTGGAGCCAAGAACTGAGATTGAGTACCACCTTGGTTTGTTTTACACTCCTACTACATTGCAACTTAAACAAGCTTCTTCTATATGACATTCAAATGCTTTTGCCAAAAACTCGCGTGCTAGTTCCTAAATGTCTACACGTAAAAAAGAAAACGACTGAAAATAAAGGGAAAATAAAATGGTACACAGCAAGTTTGGCCAAAAGACTAGCTACTCTTCCATGCAAAGAAGGGAGGAGTCGCTGCTCTGGTCAAATATATCAGAAATTTGTTCCCAATTCCTTGCCTCTCTTGCTTCCCAGTATCCACCAATATAACGGTAACACCCATCCTCTTTGTCCTTTCGGAACCATCTTGGTTGCCAACCTTGTTCCTGCAACCTCCTTGCCTACAACACAAGTTACACAAAGGAATTAAGATATATGTCACGATGTTTCTCCAAATAAAAGAAACAAAAAGGAAAAAAGGAAAAAAGATAAATGTTAATCAAGTAAAAGAAGAGCAAAATTATAGACTACAATTACAGAATCCACTCCCCAAAATTGGAATTATAGAATCCTGCCAGTTCCATAAATCGTCAAGCATAGCTCTACTCTACCTTTGACCTAATCTATATATGTCTCTGCTTTGCTTACCTCCAACTCAATTGCAACCCCCACAATCCACCTTCTTACATTACTTGTTAGAACCCAGTTTCCCGTGCAAACCATCTCTTGTTCTCCAAAAACTAAAAAATAAATCCTCACTAGCTAACATGAAGATGTTCATCACATGTCAAAGCTCTAGCATTCTTTGTTCTTACAGAATAGTCAATCACGTATCAAAAACAATTGTGAAAAGACACAATCTCTTTGTTCTTACAGAATAGCATCAGCGCTGGAACCTCAACCATTGGTTGCTCAACTTTCAGGACTGTTGAGCATCACTGTCCAACCCAGTATTTCGGGTAAAAGCTTCCGCAAAATATCTTCAAGCATCCTTGGTAATTAGAACTTTTAATACACAGTTTTAGAAGGTAAAAGGTTTCCAAAATATTCATAACACATTGAAATGACTTGTAGTTAAAATTAAGCCTAGGGTCCCACTTAGCCAAACCTTTTTTTGCCCCTGAATTAGCCTAGCTTACCTTGGGGTGTATTCTAAATTGAGCATGAACATTGATAATCCAGTTCACTGTGATTACCATCGGATCTTTATGAAATTAAAACCTAACAAGATCTGTGACTTGAACTAACTAGAAATTAAAATAAAATTACAATCAATGTTTTGGCACAAAATTTGCCAACATACCAGGCACTAAATCCTAAGAGAGAAAAGCCAAAGCTAAATAGAAAGTTGAGTCATATACATATATATATATATATATATATATGGAGAAGTTAAAAAATACAAATGAAAATGTTACTCAATAGAGTCTCAATATGGTTTGTTAAATATTGACTTTAAGGTTAAACAGAATGGCATGTTCAATTATCCCTTAACCTAGCTATGTTAGGCTCTTTAACCATTGTTGTAGCTCATCATATGTATTCCATGCCCCCTTATCCATATCTCGCTCGGATGAAAAAATTGCAAAGCAATTTAGTAGTCAAGATAACCTATGTTAGGGTAAAGAGTTTATTTTTCGTTCTTCCTCTTTTATTTTTCCTTTTTTTTTCTCAAGATTTTTCTATCAGTGGCAACAAGGTTGAAGCAAATGCAGATGATTAGAATGGTTGCTCTACTTTTCCTCTCTTTTTTTCTCCGTGTACCTGTTTTATGCTGTTCTTATTCTCAATTCTCCAAGTACCAAAACTGATTCATATGAATTTCTTTGAATATATGCAATGATGTCTATTTTAGTGGATGAACATAGAGTAATAACAACATTGACTTCTCCAGAATCCGGCATTCTAACGCCAATCCCGCTCATGGTATTGCTTCCTCACTGCCTTCACGAAAAAATCTATCTACTTATGTTTAGCAAGCAAAAACATGATGTAACACGTGAGTCTCAACCCTGACAACAGAAGGATATTTAAGAGAATACCTGTCGCTGCAACTGTTCAAGTCTCAGCTTCTCTGCATTTGCCATCTCATATTCCCCATTCTCTAAATGCCGCTGATCTGGCCTCAACCTTGAGTCAGTTGGTGGCAGCTTCTCCATTAAGCCAGGTGTCAATTCATTCAAGGATATTGCAAAGGGTGTCAGGTTGTATCTTGTCTTGGTAATAGATTTGTCTCTTTCCCACAGCATCACAGCCTCTGTCATTGGATCATAACCCTTTGGCTTCATAGTTGGATCGCCCAACACATAGTACATTGCCTCATCCCACTTCCCCACCAACATCGCTACCTTCTCCCCAGTTCTATTATCTTGCACAAATCCGTGAACCTGCGGTTTTCAAAACAAGTTTATTGGCATTAATCAATTGTTATTAGCAAGGATAGCGAATAAATACACTTTTACGTCAATCATGTCATTGAAATTATTGATTTTGTAACACTTAAAGGGTGGCCAGTTACCAATGTACTCAAGATTATCAGAATTAGCTTCTCATCAATAACACATCTTATAGACGATTGAGAATGTTAGGGACCAATGAAATATTTTTCGTATTTAATATTAGAATAATATGACTTTATTGATTCAGAGGACACTTCTCTGATAAGTAATAAACTGCATTTCACTTTGCAAGGAAACTTCTGACATTTCATGGAAGAGAAAAAGAGGGAAGTTGAGCTATGGCATTGAAGGAAATTCCCTTTAGTGTGGTAGATGAATTTGAGTTTTGGCATCTAAGAGAAGCACTACTTCCCTCTTTTTCTCTTTTTTTAAGGTAAAGGTAACCTGCAAGATCATCAGTTTGTCTCAGTTGATGACAATAAATTTGTTAAAATATTATTTTTGCCAACAAAAATCAACTGGACTAGATATACTTGCAACACAGCAACACAAAAGAATCAGGCTATTTGATGCAATATTACTAAGGCTTCAAAAAAAAATTAAAAAATTCTCTCATCATTCATGGCTACTGGAATTACCTGGTGTGGATTTCGATCTATAATAGACTGCTCCTTGAACTTGAGCTTGCAAGAGTAGTTACCACTGCCCCTGATGCGCATGGTACCATAATGGTCACAATAGATTTTACCAAGTATGATATTGTATATGGAGGTAGTGACCTTGCTCCACTGGAAAGTTTCGCCATCTTCAAACTGTAGGGAAAGGACACCCACAGGATCGAGCTGAATAGAACGCCCCCAAAATTTGCCTTTGAGATTAGAATCAGCCCAGAATTTCCAGCCTCTGCCTTCACAGTGACAGGCAACAACCATCGGGTGGTGACTCACCTAAGAGAGAGTTACTTCTTAGAAATTGAACCAAAGTTTTGGACAATATCAAGGTTTTTATTTACCATGATTTTCATCATATTTTAATGAACACAACAAACAGATAAGAAGGCAAGAAAAAGGTGACTTCCACTTTTATCTTTTCAACACTTTTGATCATGACGAGTAGGAAGTACAGGTATAGATTTCCAACTAGATACTATCAGAGCTCAGAGGTCATAAATTATCTGATGTTTAACCATTCTGCGGAAGAGAAAAACACTACCTTTTCAGAGAAGAATCGTAGACCCTTGTCTGGATAGTCAGCCTCGTAAGTCTCTCCGAGTAGAGGATTGAAGGGTTTGCACTGCCGACCTTCTGTTGAAGCATAACCAGACACAGCAAAAGCTGCAATGTTTAGAATTCTCATCAAATCGTTCCCCTGCAGCAGATGAATTTCTTACCCTCAGTCATTAAATTGAAATGCCAAGCTATGTCAACCCAATTACAATATCAGTTAAATCAACGCCACCACAAATCAATATGAAATATAGTTAAACAATAAAATTATAAATAAAATTAAAAGAAAAACGAGAAAATATGAAGATTTATCCCATTTCCTGCTTAAAAGCATAAAACTCGGTATCTTTTTTCTTTTAGAATCCATTCTCCACTAATCAGCATTAAGGGTCCTGTCCTTTCCTGACAAGTACATCAATACTAAAGGTGCCATAGTGCTTATTTCAAGGGCATTTTAACAAGACTTCTTCTTACTATACCTTCAAGAAGGCCTAGATCCACAATATCTCCTTAACACATTATACTGATCTCAGACCAAGTAGTAAATCCATATAATAACTGATTATTAAATGAACCGTAATTTAAACTGAGAGGACTTTGTACTCGATAAAATGTCATCCCGCTCACTGAAGCTCATCAAATGAGACATTGACTAATGTCTAGGAAACTTAGAAATTTATGAGTACCAAGACTAGACAGAACATGCATCGACCCAATTATGAGAGAAATACCAAGATAAGACAGCACATGAACTGATCCAATACAACATGTAATGAACAATGTCAAGAATACATGTAATAAATAAGGCATTGTTCTTTTGTGTAAGCATGTTCCTTTTAAAATTAACTCCAATTATATAACATAAAACAACATTGCAACTGATTTAGTTTTCACAGATACTAACTCAAAGTATGCATGACCCAGAGTTGGGTGATGAATGTTTGTCGACTATTTCAAGCCTGAAACTTCTGTAAACCATGGCCCACAAAACTAAGAAAGAATCATGTGAATCAGGCAAAATGAATAATAACGGGGTCTGGCACCGGGAAAAAAAAGATCTTTTTGAATCACAAAGATAAGCTCTAATTACAGTGCAATATGGGTGAAAAATCTCTAAGCCCTGATCAACTGGAAAACTCCCACTGACAAGAAGCATGGAAGGGTTATATCAAGGGGAGATGAGTGCTATTCAAGGGGAATTACCCAAAGCATCGATCTTCGACTCTTAAAATTGACAAGGTGAAAAAGACCTCTCAGCCAGTGATGAGTTCTCCCTTCCTGATTAGCGACCTCTCAAGCGATGGCTGCACTCTCTCTAACCAGCATACCTTTCCCGGGTAGATAGCTCTCTCCATTCTCTTCCCCATTCTTTCCCTTTTGAATATGATTTAGCTACCCTGTGGCAATGAGTTCTGATCTAGTTCCAGTTCCTATTGAAGAAATTCCTAGCTACCCTCTTTCTATAAAAGGTCAAGGGGAAGTTGCTGCAAAATCAAAAGAGGATGACCTTGATGACGAGGTTGCAGGATACTTGGACAAGGAAGCAACCATCCGTAGCATCAAAATAGCCACAGATTTGACAACCAACGTAGGCAGCAGACACGTTGCAGACCTAAAATATGAGGTCAAGTTTCTGAAGAAAGAGTTGGAGATAGCTAATAATTATCAAGCCTACGTTCAATAAGCACGGTGGTTTTAGCTATGGAGGCAGAGGTCCTGGAGGTCAAAAAGACTATAGAGGTGGAAGATTGGGGGGTTGGAGACCTTGATCTCGTTCAATATGCATATCTATGTCCAGAGGTCACAAGCCTGGTAGAAACCATGGAGTTGCAGAAGATAAAAGCCACCAAGGAACAAGAGCTGCTAAATCCCGTATAATGTAGCGTGGGCCATTGAAATTTGCCACTAAGCTCATAAAAAAATGGCATCCCAAATTGTCATTAACGAAGGACAAATTTAACAAATTCCCATCTGGGTGAATTTTTTCAATGTGTCAATGGAACACTGTAATTTCAAAGGTGAAATGAACAACTCTATACGAGATGCCTGCAAACTAGATTAACCAATCAACAATAAAGAGTTATGAAGTTGTATTTATCAGGCAAGGAGCATGAACTTTTCTTCAATTTGATTCACAAATCTAGATTAGAAAATCCAGTAAGTAATAACCAACAGAAATGCTTTAAAACTTAGGTTATCAAACCAACTACCTGAATAAAAATGTAATAGCATGTCATGCTTTAAGAAACTGCTTTGCCACAAAAGAAAGCACATGTGAGGACCTGACCTGCTTTCCCCATTCCAGTGCCCGGTCAACCAAGTATGAATACTCCAAATCTTCAAAGCACTTCTGCAATGAAGATAGTGGCTCATTAAAGTAAACAGGTAGGCAAACACCAGAGAGATCCTTCCCGATGTTGTCCTTGATTATTGACCATAAACCAACGGGCTTCTCTTTCTCCTTTGGTTCTGGTAAACTATCCCTTCTTTTGATGTATGGATATTGAATTGCCTTTATCTCCATTCCACCTTCCCGTAACCGATCAGAAAAGAAATACTCTCTTTCATACATTGAAGTAGTACAAGCATTTCCCATGTTCTCTCTACTCCGATAGGAAGCGCTTCTTAGAGAGTCTGAAGATAGAAAATCATTTGTATCAAAAAATGCCCCATCATCTTCATCTGTTTCAACATCCACTCCCTCTCGACTTTCATTATCTGCATCAGACTCACTTGCACTACCCTCTGACATGATGGAGTAGAAATCTGTGAAATTTATAGGAAGATGAGAATTCTCAAAATTAAATCATTGAGTGTCACAATTGCTCTTATGAAAAAAAAAAAACAACATTACAAGGAAAGCATCAACTTGTTTCATCCATCTCAGCACAGTTCCTTGTAACTAAATAGGATACTGTGGAAAAGACTGAAGTTAGGAACCTTGGGACCTACGGATTGAGCATTACTTATTAATTAAACCAATAGGAAAAAATCTAATGAATCATGGTAGTTGGTCGTGAAATTGAACTGCAATTTCACTGCATAACCTTTGTAGTATTAGAGCTTCAAAAACAGTATTGTGGCTAACAGCCATATTTGGGTACTGCACCAGCATGTAGATAATTTAAGTGTGTGTTTCAAATGTGATGTTTTAGTGATGACAGATAAAGTTTATTTGTTAAACGCAAGGGAAAAACCTCACAATACTGTAAAACAACCCAACCAGGTTATTTAAGTATTTTACCCAACTTTCTACATTTAAACAGAGGTACTTCTAAAATACTCATAAACTTTGAAAATATATTATCAGGTATGCTGTAACACAACTGTGCTTGACTTATGGAAGTCTGAAAATCTTTACTAACCACTGAATCTTCTATTCCCTTGTCCACAACATGAATCGTGTTCCTTTGTTTCGTCCACTACTGTTGTTTCCAGCTCAATTTTCTCTGTCTGCAACACAGTATTTCAAGGAAAAATGGCGAACTTATTCCTGGAAAGAACTTCCCCAATGCTCAGGCAGCATGTAAATTGTGGAAAAACTAAAGTAAATAGATGTTGAATAAAATACACATAAGATGGCAGAACTCAGGACAATACAATACAATATAATTTTGACCAATCAACTCAAGATTCAGGAGGCACAAGCAGTTAATGAACTGACTCTGCAAGAGTTAAAAGCTCCTGTGAGAAATATCCTAGATTGATTATAACAACATAACTTACCATAACCTAGATATGTGATTGAGGATGCAGTAGTCTATGCAAATCTTTGTCTGCAATTTCTTCAACGATTGTACCAATATGACTCATGACACATTACAACCAAGTTTTGAGTAGGAATTTTTCAACAAACTCGACAAGACCTAGTTCAACAAGTTGGATCTAAATGAGTCCAATTTCACTAGTTGACTCTATGGGACCATATTTTCAGTTAATTCGCATAGTTTATGTCCTTATTACTCAATTCACATGCTTGTGGTATCTTGTTCTCCAAATGCTCTCAGAGTTGAATGAAATTAATTGTGGATACAAGTAAGAAAAATTGGAATGCCCCCTCATATCTTTTGATCATTCCCAGAATCCATATCTGAGTCCAAAACTAACATTATAATCAACATCGCCAAATAAGAAAGGTCAAAATTGGCTAGGTGATCATTTGATTGGACAATGTAACCTGTGTATAACAAGTATATAAAGAATCAAAAGAAAGTTGAACATTCAAACAGAAATGGAACAGTTTTTCTCACTTCTTAATTAAGGCACTGGCCTTTTTTGTGTGGACTGCATCTTGGAGCAAGATTCTGACTTTGGACAACTTGAGGAAGAGAAGACATATCATTGTTAATGGGTGTTGTCTTTGTAAGTTTAATGGGGAGTCAGTGGATTATCTTCTTTTGCATTGTCCTGTGGCCCATGACTGTTGGAGTCTCATTTTTGGTTTGTTTGGTATTCATTGGGTCATGCCTCGGACTTCTCGGGAATTGCTGGATATCTGGAGGGGCCAATGGGTGGCGGCTCAGGCGAGAGACTTATGGAGGGTGACCCTTTTTGCGTTTGGTGGAGCCTTTGGAAAGAGCAGAATAGAAGATCTTTTGATGGGAAGGAGTCCTCCATTGGGGTGCTGAAGTTTTCTATTATTTGTACTCTTTTTTGTTGGGATTGGGGAAGAGATTTTTCTTCTCTTGAGGACATTGTGGACCTCTGGAGTTCTTTGAGTTCATAGATTCTGTTTTTGTACAGCTTGGGACGCGTTCCCCTTTTGAATGCTTTCCATTACATTTTACTTATCAAAAAAAAATTTTAATTAAACCACTGGCTATTTTTCCTCTTCTACACAAAATAAGGACTTCAATAGCGGATGCAATAAATCTATTGTACATCACAGCAGGATAGACAAGCAACAGGAAGAGTTGATAAACAAAACTATGTACAAATAAAAAGTGAAAAAAGCAATCCAATGAGCACGTACCAAGGAAAATTTTTCTTAAACAAGGACACTCTTATTTTGACCCTTATCTTAACAAGGACACTACATATCAGCACACACGTGTGAAACTAGTTCTGGGACCAACAGAAGTCTAGTTTTTCTCTTTTCTTTCACTTCACTACGCTCAAAATTTCGGAAAAAAGAATTCAGAAACCAAAACCATGCATAGTTTGTCACAAGTGTTACAGATATCCATGATAAAGTACAATGACTCCAGCCAAAATAGTGAGACGTGGAGCATAAAATAATTCAGAAAAAGGAAAGCAAGCTAGCCTCACACAAACATCTCTTGTCATTCTAATGCTCACAAGAACTTGGTAAAATATTCATGCACAGAGAAATGTAAAAAACCAAATACCTCCAACTGTCTTAGTGTGTCTATCAGCATAATGTGTTTAAATTGAAGAGCCTTCAACTGATTTTGTAGCTCAGAGAGTTCATGTAGCATAATAGACTCACACTCTTCTATTACCGCCTCATTCATGCCTTCTTGCAGTAATCGTAATCGTAACTTCTCAGTTGAAACTACAATATCTTCAGAAGGTGCAAAATCGCTGCTCGTCAACACTCTAGGGAATTGATCTTTCGCAGCAAGGAGTGCCTCGATCCATGTAGTTCTGTCCTCTCTAGAAACACAACGCAAGTGAAGCGTTTTTGTTCCAGTGAAAATGGACAGCCTTCTGTCATCCGACTTGCTTGCCCGAACAGAAGAAACCTGTTAACCGTTTATTGTCAAGTATTAAACAACAAAACTTTCAAAAAAAAGAAAAAGTATTAAACAACAAATGAGAGAGAAAAAATATGGTAATAATTAAGTACACACTTGCACACAAGTATGAAATTATAATATCACCGACAATTCATGAAAAGAAAAAGTAGAGAATAAAATCATAAGCACACATCTGTGCACCAGTGTCATCATCCACCAGGATGAAGTTAGGATACCACCTGTATCACTAGGATGCTTCCACATGGCAGAACGTGCTCCTCATTTACCAATTCCATCAGCAGCAGAGGGGAGAAGTTAGAGAAAACTGTAACTTTTTCTTTAAATAAAACTCAAAGATAGTGGGGTTCATAAGATTCATTTGTTAAACGGAATATTACCTGAAAGTCATTCAACAAGGTAAGATCCGTTTCCACAGAAGTGTATTGGTTAGATATATAACCCAAAGGAAGGAAACTTGGTTAGTGTTAACCACTTTTTTAAAACTAAATCAACTGATACAACTTCAATTGCAACAATATAGAGTTCGCTTTGTGCAAGATATTGGACAACTTGCTTCTTGTATGCAAACAAACTGGTCACTTGGTTTTAATCCAGAAAATAGATGAGAATTGGGAAAATCATTCCTAAAATCAGTTGACAAAAATTTTAGAAAAAAAAAAAAAAAAAATCTATTGCCAGGCTATCCTATTAAATGATTTGAGTAATTCCCAGCCTAGGGCTCTTTTACCTAATCACTTGATTTTAAGAAATGTTTCTTTTTTTTCTTTTTCTTTTTTTTTTTTTTGGAAATTACAATTTCTTAATTCATGGGTTCAAGGATGGGGCTTGGCTCAGCGGTAAGGTTGCTCCATTGTAAACTTGGATGGAGGTCATGGATTCAAAACCAAAAACCACCTCTCCGAGCATAGGTAAGGCTGCGTACATTTGACTCTCCCAAGACCCCACAATGTGCATTGGGCTAGCCCTTACAAATTCTTAATTCACCTCCCAGTGCTCCCCTCTGACAAAATGCATCATCAGCCCTTACTTCCACTATTTCAGTGCTCTCTTCTTTGTATCAGAACCAGAGAAAGATTCAAATATGTTCATATGAACAAGGAATTTTAACTAAATTCATGTTATGTATGCTTGTTCAGTCTTAGTTTTCCCATCATGTGAATTTATATAAACACAGACACGGCATGGAACAAAATGACAAAATAAACCATTTTTTCGTTTAGTTCTGTCTTTTCTTTCTTTTTCTTTTTTTGCCAATTTTATATTTTTAGTAGATAATAACACGATCATCAATTATATTGCAGCCACAGTAAGTCGAGAATAAAAAATAAAAAATAAAAAAATTTAAAAACAGACATTTGAGTGAATATGTAGAACATGAATACATGCAAACACATATATTTCAAACAGTAACATATACATGAAGCATATGTGTATAGAGTAACAGATCGAGTAAAACCTTCAAATGTATCTCCCCAAACGGTTTCCACTGCCTTGTGGAACCACCAAGTCGGTTATTGCTCCAATTAGCCTTTCTCATGTACCTCAAAGACTCCTCTCCGATCACATTAACCCCCTTCTCTCTCACCGAACTCAACTCGATTTTGTCCGGCCCGTGAATCTTATAATACGAAAGCACCCCATGTTCAAGCACAAACCACCTCGACTTCCAACCTTTCCCATAGTTCACCCACTTGTACAAAATCCCAGCCACACTGCCATTGTTGCCAAACACCTTGGGATCTCTCGATTCAACCAAAACATTATCTTCAGCCTGATTCACAGCCACATTCAATCCATTCAAATCAATACCCACCGACGAGACTTGAGCTGAAAAGCTCGATTTCGAACTGAAGTTCACATTTCTCACAGAACCATCAAACCCTAACTGACACTGTGTCTGTGGCTTAGCGACCACCGGATTGTTCCGATCCCGATCGATCGAAACTGGAGCAATGCAGCACAATGGATTCATCTCAATAACACCGACAAATCACCCAATCAAACGATTCGATCACATTACCAAAAATCACCTAATTCGATCTCGTTCTCATCTCATTGAATGTGCCTCCGAAACGCCGAACACGAACCGAAACGATCTCTCGAACGCAGTCGTTTTCGAGCTAGAAAGAGATCGTAGTATGTCCGATGAGAAACGTAGCACCCGATCGGAGGTCGATAGGGCGATACATTCGAAAGTTTTCTGATATGACATAAGATCGCAAACGACGCGTACAGTAAAGATAGATCAGATTACCGACACTAAAAGTATAAAGATAATAGATAGATATAGAGAGAGAAAGGGAGAGATGTAGAGAGAGAGTGTGTAACAATGGACAGTTATAACTCGCTGCAGCTGCAGTTCACGTCAATTAAGCAAGCAGGCGATAAAGATGCGTATGCAGCCAGAACAGATCCATTTAATTCACTGTTCAGTGAGTCAGTATGTAGCACAGTCAGGCTAGCTATGATAGTATATGTATATAATAGAGAGAGAAATATTGCGTATGTGAGACTTGTAAGTATTGTATAATGTGTGTTTGTGTGTATATATAAATAGAGATATAGAGAGAGAGAGGGGGGAAGCGTGGGGGAGGAGAGGGGGCGAGACTAGGCGTAAATAGAGGTTTGGGCGCATTTATATGGGATTTAAATGCCTGGTTTGGTTTTGGTTTGGAAGGTAATGATTGCGTCGACAGCTAACGTGCGCACTTATGCACAGGTAGTGATGGGGGTGGTGGGGAAGCAATGAAGCATTTGTCCGTTGGGTGAGGGGAAAACTCTTTTTGGGCTCGTGGCCCGCGGGTTGTGAGTGAGAGTGCTCGGTGAAAATGACGCAGTTTGACCCTTTAGCCCTCAATTGGATAAAGTTGATGGTCGTAAATGTGCTGTCACCAAAGTGTACTGACACGTTGTTGGTTGCGGAAGCGTGAGCTATAAAATTGACAATATGGGATCATTATAACCAAAAATAAATAAACAAAAATAAAAAGAGTAAAAACTCAAATAATATTAGGGTAGAGTAAAAAAAAAAAAAAAAAAAAAAAAAACTATATTTGAATTTGTAAATAACTCTTTTGAAATATAATTTGTAATATTAATAAGTATAAAATAAAATTGTGAACTGTGTTTGAATTCGTAAATAATTTCGTTGAAGTATATTTCATGCACAGTACACTTTCAACTATCACATTTTGTTATAGAATGTCTTCATGCCTAAGTTTTTTTTATTAAATGACCATAATATCCTTTCATTTTGAGTTACACTTAGTCCTTTTTTCTTAATAAATTAAATTGTGCAAAAAAAAATTCATATTAATTTGACGACGTATTCTCCATTAAATTTGCATAAATTTACTTTTAATTCTTGAAATAAATCATTTGAATTAAAATCTTAAGTATAAAATTTATAAAAAATGAATCTTTCATGGATATGTTGCATGAAAAATAAAATATTTTTTATTTAAGTAATTTATTACTTTTTCATTAATATATTATGAGTAGTGTTATTTAGTCAGACAAATAAAAGCTTACTACTTCGCGAGCCTATGTAGCTATTTATGTGTCGAAATATAATATGACTCATATTAAAATATAAGGTAATTAACTATTTAGAAAGTTGCAATCCCTTTTTTAGGTTTTATCTTAATTTAGTATATTTGTTGAGTATTAAATTTCAATCACTGTGTATATCAAATTGTGTATCTATTATATATATATACATCACATTACATCTATGTAAAAACTCTTGAGATAAAACATTGTGTCTTTGATTATTAATATACATCAATTACTTTGATAAGCTATAATGATCAAAGCTAAATGATATATAACTCCCAGAAACAAAAATAAGGAGAACAATTTTTAAAAAAAAAAAAATTGCGAAGTATTGAAAAACTGTAAACAAGCTTGTAATTTTTGTTGTAGATTTTGTACAAATCAAATTCCTATATTTGAGTACCACGAAACTTGATGTGAAAACGAAGAAGAAGAAGAAGACGACGATGATACAACCATAAATGGAAAACTAAAAAGATAAGAAAATGGGTTATGAAAAAATAATAAATAAATAAAAAATAAGGTTGGAAAAAGAGACGACGTCATATTTTATCTCTGTCGGCTTTAACTCAGAGTATTAAAGTAGTCAAAAATATTATTTTCCTATATGAAAAAAAAATTAAAAAAAAGAAGGTATTCCTGCCGTTCCAAAATAAGTGTCCACCTTTTTTATTTTATTCGTTCCAAAATAATTGTTTCATTTGAAAAGTGAATGTACTATTTTTTTGTAATATTACTAATTTAATATTTTTACATTTAACATATAAAAAGTAAATTATCATATCACTCTGAACCCACTAGGGATATATTTAATAATCCATTCACTGCTAATATAGTAAAATAAATAAATAAATCATCATCTTTAATTGTTTGGTTAGATAGAACATAAAAGAATAAACTTATAATTTCATATGTTCATTATAATAGAAGGAAATAAAAAATTTTAATGGTTGTTACAATTATATCCAATATTATTTACAATATTATAATTTATAAAATAAATGATAATACTGTAATATAAAATTTGTATAATTTAGGATAATATTTAATTTAAAACTTCTATAATAGTTCACTTGTCTTTCTTCCTTTCTTTCACCTAATTTTTAGTAAATAAAAATTTGTAAAGGAGGAAGGATATGTTATCCTTTCTGTTCTTATTTATTTCCTTGTATCATTTTTATGGGACAAAAAAAGTTCATTCCTTCTTTTCTATGAACACATCAAAAAAATTAGACTCTAAAAAATTAATAATTAAAATAGGACAGTGGAAGTATTTTATATAATAAAAAAGTTTAAACTCATTTTTTAAAATTATTATTTTTTTCTTAGGTATATTTTTTTTAAAGAAAAATAATACGTGTATGAACTAATGATGGGATTGACTGCCATCTCGCCCACATGGCAATACTCGGAGTTGGGCGCGTCACGACTCTTTTCTAAATACAGACCAGCGGTGAAGGACAGTCCAGTTGGGACCAAGTTAATGATATACTCAAAGGAGTGTAGGAGTTCCAACAATTGTGACCGGATCGACAAGCTCTTTTTGAGTGTCGGCCTTTGAATCAGACAACAAATAATTTTTCCTATAAAATGGATGGATCCACAAGCCTCTTTTTGGCAGTGGTGTAAGATTAATTTAAACTTCAAATTAACATGATTCAAAATTTCTTAATTGTAATTGTTATTGTTATGTCCTACTCCTATCACGTCCCTCCATTTCATCACGTTTGGTTTGTTTACTTAATATTAAGGTTTAATCTAAATTATTTTTGAGGTTTATCAGCAACAATAGCCTAAAAGTGACTGATTCTATCAGTCGCGTGATTTTAGTGGTCAGTTTTCAACCCATTATTATAAGTTAATTATTTTACTCATTTATTTTCTTGTTTCTAGAAATTCAGTTTGAGAATGTAAAAAGTGGTTTATTTATATTCTAATTATATTATTTTATGAAACACACTTTCAAAATAGTTTTTGAGTTATCGTGTGACGGGTTCTAAGAGGTTGCCTTTTTTTTTTCTTTTTAATTTTTTAATTTTTTTTTTATATTCTATATTCTATCTAGACGTCTCTCTCTTTTGCTAGCTTCTAACTTGTACAGGAAAAAACTTGGCTAATTTGCTATCTTTTTTTTTCTTTTTTACTTATCATGAGAGACCCACTTTTACAATAATTCAATTTAACAATATATTAGATAATCTGTTAAATATATATTTTAAAATTTTAAAGCAATAATATATAATATTTATATATTATCAAAATACTATTACTATCATTATTATTATTGTTAAATATATATTTCAAAACTTGTCAACAACAATAAATATTTTATTTTATATATCAATTAATAAATATTTGTATATTAATAGATAAATACTGAAACTTTTTGACAGAGTTTCTGTATTTTACTCTGAAATTCTAGGTCTATGCCCCTCTGCATTTCTCTCTGGCATTCTGAATTTCTAGAATTCCTAATTTCTGTACCCCTTCCTCCTTTCTCCATACAAGCTTCTTGATTAATAGGATAATGACATGTGTCCTCACCTAATAATAACATAATCACAATTGGGTTGGCCCGGTTATATTGTGGTAATTATTCATAAAAAATAACTATTATTTTTATATCAATTAATAAATATTTTATTGTGATTGATTTTATTAAATAATTTTTTGAGTTTTATATAAACTATTTTTATAAAAATATTTTTATATCGATTAGTAAATATTTTGTAATAAATAAATAAATAGGTAATTTGCGTTAGAGTTTAATAGAAACTCTTTTAAAAACTCTTCTTGTATCAATTAATAAATATTTTTTATATTAATAATTCTTGTTTAATTATATTTCTTTTTATTAAAAAAACTTATATTAAATAGATAAATAGGTAATTTGTGTTAGAATTTTATAAAACTCTTTCAAAACCTCTTTGTATATCAATTAATAAATAATTTTTTATATTAATAATACTTGTCTAATTAGATTTACTTTTATTAAAAACTCATAATAAAAGCTAATTTGTGGTAGAGTTTTAGAATAAATAGGTAATCTGTGATAGAGTTTTATAGAAATTATTTTATTTTCTTTAAATATATCCTTGTCTAATTATATTTCATTCTATTAAGAAACTCATAATAAAAGCTAATTTGTAGTAGAGTTTTAGAAAAATTATTTTATTTTATATATCAATTAACAAATATTTTTTATATTAATAATTCTTCTCTAATTACATTTTCTTTTATTAAAAATTCATAATAAAAAGTAGATAAATAGGTTAATTTGAATTTTATTAGGTAGATTTTAAAGTTAGCTAATTTGTGGTAGATTTTATAGAAAAAATTTATTTTCTTTAAATATATTTTTTATTAATTATATTTTCTTTTATTAAAAAAACTCATAATAAATAGATAAATAGGTAATACATGTGAGAGTTTTATAAAAAATATTTCAAAAACTATTTTTACATGAATTAATAAATGTTTTTATATATTAGTAATTCTTGTCTAATTATATTACATTTTATTAAAAAAAAAACTCATAATAAAATATAATTTGTGGTAGAGTTTTAGAAAAATTATTTTATTTTTTATATCAATTAAAAACTATTTTTTATATTAATAATTCTTGTCTAATTAGATTTTCTTTTTTTTAAAAACTTATAATAAATAAATAAATAGGTAATTTGTGTTAGAGTTTAATAGAAACACTTTTAAAAAATCTTTTTATATTAATTAATAAATATTTTTTATATTAATAATTCTTGTCTAATTAGATTTCTTTTTTTAAAAAAAAACTCATAATAAATAGATAAATAGGTAATTTGTGTTAAAGTTTTATATAAACTATTTTAAAACTTCTTTTTATATCAATTAATAAATAATTTTTTATATTAATAATACTTGTCTAATTAGATTTATTTTTGTTAAAAAGTCATAATAAATAGATAAATAAGTAATTTGTGTTAGAATTTTATAGAAACTCTTTAAATATATCTTTGTCTAGTATGATTGAGTTTTATTGAAAATAAAATAGGTAATTTGTGATAGAATTTTATAAA